TTGCTTTATATGTGTTAAAACAATATATTATAGGTTGATTTTTTATGATATTCTTGATAGTTCTTTTTCTTATGCCAGAACTTTTATAAGTTATCTTTTGGTTGCCTAAGTGTTCATTGCTCAATTTATTGTCAATCCAAATAGCCTTACAGATTCATTTTTACAACAAAGCAAGAAAATGAAAAGTTGAAGTTAGATTCATGCAATGCCTTAGGATTGACTCATCGTATATTTTAAGTTTTTAAATATGGTTCTTTTTTGCTTCTTTCAATTGATTTTYTTACATCAATGTAAGTTGAAATATTTGAAGGAGACATGTCTTTATGTGAAATATTTTTTATTCTTGAGTGTGTCAAATTCCTTGATATTTCCGTGCTGTTATTACTTATTTTATTTAGTTTTACAACTTTATTCCTAAACAAATCTCTCTCTCAATATATATATATATATATATATATATATATATATATATATTAAAATTTCACTAATTATATTTTAYTTAACTTTTTAGAATTATTTAAATACTATTTGTTAATAATTCTATTAACAACTAATACATATTTATATAGACAATCTTCAAATTATTAATCAAAGTACTCATGCTACCGTGCAACGCACGGTTCCCATACTAGTGTGAATAATAATGGCCCTTTTGAGTCTCTCAAAGGCTAGAGTGACCAAAGTGACGTTTCATTACAACAAAAATATATGCCGGAGTGGGGTTTCATTACAACAAAATTTGTCTTTTTTTTTTAACGTATCCCTATATTTATCTTATTAATCCATACTACGAACAAAATATTCCATTAGTAACCCGTGAGGTTTAGGAATCCCTTTTAGGGTTTGTGCAAATTTCTCATAAGTCTTTTCGCATCGTACCATCATCTATTAATTATTTTCTAAAGAATCAACACAAATTTTATGTAAAATCAAACAAAGAAATAAGGATTTAGAACTAGAGAAAAAGGATATGTATTTCAAATCAAACTAAACAGTTTATGAAGTAGAAACTATGTCAATTAAAGTTATCGAGACACGATGACTTTAAACCTATATATGAACCATAAATTTTATGTTGTGATGTTGCTTCTCAAGATTTTTCAATTTGAAATGCATTTTTTAAATGTTGTTGAGGCTAACAATGATTTGTTTGTATTGAATCAATCTCCATTGTGCGATGATCACTACAAAGATACTCTCTAGTAATCACAAGCGTGGTGTCTGATTGGTTTGAATTTGGGCGTCAAAGGTTAAAAGTGTTTGTAGGTCTCAGATTCAAATCCAAGGAGAAATAAATCCTCGTGTAGCCACAAAGATTCAAATACAGTGACCCCGAACTACCTTAAAGCAGGTGGTCGCCCTGGAGTTAGTCGACTCGTATAGCGAGTTGGATATTCAGGTTAATCAGAAGAAAAAAAAAAGATACTCTCTAGAAATGAGATTTACGGTTTGTTGGAACAGAGTATATGAAGGAATGTTAAAATACTTGATGAATTAGTTGATGACAACGTACATCTACAATGAGCTACAATGGTTAAAAGTTTAAAGCTAAAGAGAAGAAAGTTAAAGGAAAAACAAGAGGTTGCAAGAAAGGACGCAGAGCATGCATTCGACTTTCGAGGTTCTGCAATCTCGTTGGGCGATTACAAGTGGAACAACAATATTATTTCACAGACAAACAATATTTTCACAACATTTTTATGATAAATACAAAGGAATGTTAAAGTACTTGATGAATTAGTTCGTACTCACTTCGATCAGACTGAGTCAAAGATATTTGGAAACGGTTTGCAGAAAATTAAAATATTTCTATTATTGTATTTCCTAGTTCATTTTAGTTTTCAATTCGTTCGTACCAACATTGATGAAATACGTTTAATTTATGTAATTTAAAAGAAATTTATCATTTATTGAAATAATTTCATTTACTAAGCAAAAAGTTTCTTAAAAATTCAGTATTTATTTGGGTTGGCAGTAGTGGAATGTTTTCATTAGGGACCGATTCACTCTGCGTAGATTGACTGAACGCAGAAAACCTTCCACTGGCAGGCGATCATGACTGCTTCCAAGCCCACCTCCTGGTTGTCATCGCTCGATGACTTCCTTTTCCACTAAGTGATTGTCATCTTGGTCATATAGATGTCTTGACACCCTTATTTTCTCATTTTCTGACTTTTATCAAATTATATATTTTTTTAAAACAATGATAAATGTTAATTATCACAAACCTTTTAGAAAGATTCAACCAACAAAAAAAACTAGGAAGAATAATTCATTATTCATTATTATTTAAATAAATACAAATTATTTTTATACATCAACCGAAAATAAAAATTATTGAATTTTTTTTATTTGGAATCGTTCAATTAAACCTCGAATTTATTCTTTGTTATAAAAGATACTATTTTTGTTATTGTTTATCGATTTAATTCTATTCATGGTTTTTTCTTTCTTTTTTGGTAACCGTAGGTTTCAGGACACCTTAGGTGCCCCAACTAATTTTTTAAGTGACCACGAATTGATTGGAGTCATCGTAAGTGAACCTCCATGGGTTTAAGAATTTCGGCAACACCTAGATTCGAACCCGAGGTGGATAAGATTTCCCACCACATTTCCCAGAGGTTTAATCAGTACATCACAGCCCAAGTGGTTATTTTTGTCTAGTTTTAATACCATGGAAAACCCATTGAAATCTAGCATAAATAACAACTTTAACAAATATTACGAGTGACGGACTCTTCTGACGATTATATTTATTTTTTGTTGCAATCAGGTTATTTAAATATATAATCTTAAATGAGATTTTTAATTAAATTAATTACCACTTGAAGTATTTAAAAAAAAGTTTCCTTACTCATGAGTGGATCATAGATTTAATTAATCCCATTTAAGGTTATATACTTGGATATACCGCAAACCACTGTGCGTAACAAAACGTCTCTTTGACGCAAACAAAACGACAAAAGAGGTCGAAAAAGTTGATTTGCTCATTCACGCATATATAGAGGGAAGATCAAACAAGATCGGGGTCAAAATAAAAGAACACAAGAACAGTAAAATCATATGTAGTTTTGCACCGAAGTCACATGTGATTACAGAACACGGTCAACCCGAGGGTGTACAGGAGACTTGATTTCTAGACGTGAGTTTAGTGTAAAATTACACGTATGTGACTGCTCTCGTGTTCTCTTATTTGGTTACTGGTCTCGTGTTACGAGGGTAATTTAGGTAAAATAAAATCACACCATCTACCAAATAAGTGGAGACAAAATAGTGTACCAAATATAAGTTTATGCCTCCATTAAACTCTGTGATTGAGGTAGTAATAGTAGTAGTAGTAGTAAAAGAGAGGAGCTTTTGCCTCATTTATGACTTTGTATATAACGACACTATCTATATAATGCATCATAAGTCAGAATAAAAACCTTGACTTCTACATATCGATACAGTCGTCGGTAAATATCACCAAATTGAAACGATGACAGACCAAGAGTTTGTACCTTGCTACGATCTCAGTAAATTCCGACTCTACGGCTAGGAAATCTGGATTCGTGCAAAACGAAGGTGTGCCTGAATTTTCAGTTATGATTCAGAGGCCAATTTGAAAGTTCGAAAGAATTTCTGGAACCAGATTGTGTTGCGGACGAAGAATCGCTGGTTCGTTTAGTTGTAGATGCTGCTGGTTCTGGTGTAGATGAGAAATCGATAAGGCCATAAGCGGATTCTGTTGCAGATGAAGGATGGTTGGTTTTAGATATTTTGGGACAAGTGTGTTTTCCCAGATAAGTGATTTCAAAGATTGATGGGTCGTCGCTAGATCGTTGAACTTGTTTAGTTGCACAACAACCGTGTGTGTTTCGGTACGTGCATCTGTAATATTCTCTGCAAATATTTTAACAAGTCAAGTGAATAATAAACTGTAAAACCAAACGAGCGCCGTAAATCTCACACGAAAGTAGGGTCTGAGGAGTGAGATGTAAGCAGATCTGAACTCTGGTCCAAAATGACCTTAAATGAGATTTTAATTAGATTCATGACCTTCTTAAGTATGAAACCATTTTTTTGTCAGAAGGTCATGGATTTAATTAAAATCTCATTTGAGATTTATATACCAGAATGACCCCCCAAAAGAATAGAGCAACTGCTTCCGTAGAAATAAACTGTAAAACCAAACACAAAGGTAGGGAATGGGTCTAGCTCAAGGGGTAGCGAGGTTGTTTCCGTGAATAACGTATCAGATATGTATAAAATAAGAAAGCAAAATTTTAAAAAGATACCTGGGGTATTTGGCATTAAGAATTTCTTTTTGGCCATATTTCCTCCACATATAACCATCATTTGGGGGAACTTCAAGTCCAATCTCCAGGCTCACTTTCACCTGCTGCTTCCACTTAAGGATACTGCTACTGCTACTCTTTCTGCATACCATCACTTGTATTTATTATTATTTATTATTATACATACACATTTTATCAATATTTTTGCTCTTCCCTCAGGAGTCAGGACAGGAGGGGACCACACACACATATATGTATATGGGGAAATGTTCAAATGAATGAGAAACATAAATATTTTGAGAAATAAGAACCAACTATTTCATGTATTATTTACGATGAATAACCCTAAATATTCATGGATATCAATCATTGCATTATTCGTTTTCATCATAAATATCCATCACGGTAATCATCATGAATAAAACATTTTATTATTCATTTTCATCATAAATATCTATCATGGTATTCATCATGAATAAACATGAATAGTTGCTTCTTAGGTTCCCAAAATATTTACAATTCTGTGTAAATATTTGACAACTTACTTCTTCCTAGAGGCATCTTTGTGATTGGAATCCTTGGTGTCAGAATCATCATGATGTGGCCTGCCACTCAAAGGTTGTGGATATTCTGACCTTCTGATGTCCATTCCGGCATACTGTGACAGGGCCTCGTCATCAGAGTTGGGAATGTTTTGAGTCGACAGCTCTTCAGTTTCGTTAGAAGAAGCGGGCATATTGAGATCTATCTGGAGCTTCTTAACATGCTCAGTACCATTGTTTAACTTGTGAAACGGACAGTTACTCTTCGAGTGATGATTGCCTGATGAGTTCAGATTCATTTGTAAAGATCGACCTAAAGCTTTGTACGCCAATGAAAAAAATTATGTCAACTCTTTTATCAATAGCCATCTCCAGTGATAGATCATGTAAAAATTGACATAATTAGACTTCAAAATTTTGCAACTCTTTTGAATTGCGAGTTCAATAATTAGATATATTTTACACCCATTATGCATGATTGGACCAAAGAGTCTGATAGGATCTCAGTGGTAATTGATTAGAATACTCGAAATTGAAAAAGGAATTATAGAGTTACTGGAATTCGAGAGCCAGATCTCTTCCACTACAAAGTTGAGCATGCTCATTATGTCGTCTACTTCATTATTATAAACTGGACCCCAAGCAACAATTACTAGACTAACCCCTCTATTTTACTCTACTTTCCTTCATACTTCCTTCTCGCATATGTTTGTACTAACCCGAGGTCTATCAGGGTCAATGGCATAGCGGCATCCGGATTACTGTTAGAACCCGGCCTCCCAGGGGGTCAAGGGTTCAAACCTCACCTTAGGTAAGGAGTGTGTGTGAATATTTGCCCTATATAAATATCATTTACTTAAAAAATGCATGACTGGACCTCCTAAAATCACCTACAAGTGAATTGAACAAAAATACCCTTTCACAAACTCGAAAGCTAACCTAACAAAACCACAAGGGTGGTACCTAATTGGTTTGAGCTTGGGCTCCAAAGGTCAAAAGTGTCTGAACGTCCCAGGTTCAAATCCAAGGACGAATAAAAATCCCCTTGAGACCACGGAGGTTCAAATGTGGTGACTCCGGGCTACCAGCAGGTGGTTGCCCTGGGATTAGTTGGCACGCATAGCGGGTTGGATATCCAGGTTAATCAAAAAAAAAAACTAACCTAACACACATGCACAAGTTGAACTTGCAAGATTTACAACTTGTCCTAAATTTGAGGTTCTATCAAGAAGGAAAAATTAATAATTAATAGAAATATTAACAATAATCCAATTATCATATGGCATCTTGGAAGAACACACAAAAAAGCTCCCTGGAATGGAATGCAGCAGGATGTGGACAGGTCCTCAGAAGCTCAAGAAAATGTAGAAAAGAGTAGCCTCTTCTGCAATTGATCCACAAAAGCTCCATCTCTTCTAAGTTTTATGAAGACACTTGAACTTCTTTTTGTCACACTTCATTACATCCCGCCACTTACCTGGATGGGGTCTATGAGTGATCAAAAAGGCTCATGGCCTAGGTTAGCAACCTCCATTACACATAGGAGGGGTGTCTGCCTAAGGTCAGCCCAAGTGGTCGAACCTATGCCATAATTTGTTTTCATTACATCCCACCATTCTGTTTCTCTTTTGATTTCCTTTCAATTTCCGTTCAAGAATGGAAGGTTCTCAAGCTTTACGCAATAAAAGATGAGTAAAAGCATCCAATTCCAGAGACACACAGAACACTAAAAATATCAATAAGATTGGAACCAAAAAAGAGAGATCATAATTGTCAGGTGGACACCATTCACAGCCCTACAGGCTTGGTTTATTAATGCCTCCATTGACATCAGTTTAACCTATTGAGTTACACAGCCATTATAAGTGAACGCTTTTGAATGTTTCCCTCTTCTCTTATGCAACACATTTAAGAGGATTCTTTTTATTGATCAGCTTTTCATTCTAATCTCTGCATAACAAAATGTTACGTGTGCATTTAATCACAGTTACTTCTATGCAAAAGATGTTGAACCAAACGATTTCCACTTCACTGTGCCTAAAATAATTATGATGTGCTAGAAGCTTGTAGTTTAGGATGGAAATTCAGCTCTTTATAGAATGATACAGTTAACTACTCCTTCAGTATCACACTTTCCTTTCTGGGGTGTTCACAGATGACCCACCGATAAACTACTGCACACATGCCATTGATTAAACTAAGCAACTGGGTTTATGTTATGTCAGTGGGGTTAGTATAATACATTTTTGTATTTGGTATCGCTCTAGGATATAAGAATCTGCAAGTGAAACTTGATTGTTTTCTGTGAGTGGTCAATTAAACCACCCAAAAATGTTGGCCAAGTCAAACATGAAACTTCTTAGAGGACGGAGGGAGTAAAAAATTAACTTTCAGAAAGTATAACAAGTCTGTTTAATTTAACAGCATGGCGCTTTAATGTTGTTCCATTTTTAGTACCACAAGCATCCCTAAGTCCACCTTTTTTAGATTATAAAAAATTTAAAGCTACTTTTCATTAATTCTCTCACCCCTTCTTAAAACAGAAGGCTATGTAATTGGTAACTTTTAGATTATGTAAACTAAGGATACTTTAGATCAACATATTGTATCGGGCATTAGATTTTCAAACTGAACATTCTTTTTGAAATTGTATGAAAAGTGTCCCCTAAATTAGGATTATGGGCAAGGTAAATGATAGCAGCAATGCATGCAACAAGGTGATATATTTTCAAGAAAATAGAAAGGGATCAAACTTTGTGCATGATTCAAGTATCAAAAGGAACACACACAAACACACATAGAAGAATAGTATCAAGAGGGGAAATGCATATTTATGTAACTTAATTGTTGGTTTGGCTGTCATGGACTGGATTTGATGCTGGAATTCTGCAAAAATGAGACTTTCAGGGAGACAAGGCAGGAAGCCTTCAGTATCCATAGTAACTTGTTTTAGTTTATATGCTCATACTTCTAGAATTTAACTGATGGTGATGATGGCTTAAATTACTGAGTTCATGCAATGCTGGTGTCGTTGACAGGTGGTATTCAATGATTATTGTGGTTGTCGATGGTCGTTGAGAAAACGAAATTTCTGATGATCCGATGATGATAAGTTGGAGAAGTGGTGGCAAAGTTGATGATGCAGTGCCAGATTTAAGTGTGCTTGTAGGAGTTGTTAATTTAACTTAATTCATCCAAAATAAAAGAAGTAAATGCTCAAAATGCAGAAACTCGAGAAAGCTTTGATCTTTTAGTAGCATATATCACTACAAAATAATGAATAATGTGCTGTATATAATAATTCACAGTCAATTTCATCACTAAATAAAGTTAAGGTTGTCCTTGAGTTGAACTTTTTTTAAACTAAAGTTGTAACTTGTACAAACCCAATAAATACTTTTGCATGGCACCATTTGTTATAGTGAAATTGATGATCGTGAGCAGAGAATTTCCAACGATATGAAAATCGTAATATAGCAAGCGACCTTGGTATCAAACCCTAGAGTCTGGTGACTCTATCCATTCTCCCACTCCTTTACCCCATAATATTGAAAGGCATGGTACTTTTCAAAGCTTCTAAATTGACATAGACGCATTTACTATTTTATCCCAAAAAGTTCCTATTTTTTAAGAAGAATTTAGTCTTAGTTGGTTACTACACCCAAAAGGTTCTTATCAGTTGGAAGTCAAGCATTAACCTTTTGGACATTTAAACCCCAAATACAGATTCGCCATAGCAATGGAGACTAGAGTAATAGCACACTCCATCACATGAAAATTGGAAATAAAATTGTTTGGACTATAAAATAACCTTTCATCATAATAGCACACTGTTTGGCTCTTAACTTTCAGTTTCAACTTGAAGTAAAAAACCAGATTCAACATCACATAATCATAAATACATTTATCACAACGACTAGGCTGCATACATGCAACTTTAGCATAAAATTTCTCAAAACATAAGCATTTCAATCAGTATCGAACATCCAAAACAGATATTATGGCAGAAAATCTCAGCGTGGGGTCGGAATTAAAGAGGAATACAATCTAAACAGGTTATAAGTTACAAAAATTGAACAGAAACGACGATAGGGAAAATGAAGATGTCACCTTTGATTTAGAATGAAAAATATGACAAGGTCGGTTTGAATCTCAGGTAGCAGAAGATCCTCCTTGGAAGCGATGAAGAAGATGAATTTGGAGGAGAAGAATGATGATGATGAGATTAACGAGAATCTGATTGATCTGTAGCTGAAGGATTCATGAGAGATCCGATGCGGCTGATGGAAAGATGCAAGGAGGTTTCATCCCTTGTTCTTCATCAGCTACTACCCTCTTTATATGTTTGACTTTAATTAAACCCCAAATGGAGGTTGACAATGAAAGTATCATCTCAATACGTTTATTACAACTTAACGTCTAATTAATTGCATTTTAAACATAAATCTAGTTTTCATACATTCACCCATATATATATATATATATATATATATATATATTGGGGGTTATAAAATTCTTAAAATGACTTTAATTAATATTTTAAGTTAAAATTATTAATTTTTTAATTTAACCTTTGATTTATGGTTGCGATTAGATATCATGGTTTTCACAAACAAAACAGTTCTCATTTAATTAAACATATATATATATATATATATATGGGAACGTTCAAATGAAAACCGCCTTCATTTATGTAAATCGTGTAAACCAATCTCATCCATCCATTTTCTTGATCAATGGTTAAGATTAATCTACTTTATTTTAGAAAATTTAAAAAAATTTATATTAAAATTTTATTTTTATATCAGCAATAAGGGCAAAATGGTAAACAAAAATACATACCTATTGAAGGACAATATTCTTTATTTTAGGAAATTAAAAATTTCTATTTGTTAGGAAATAATTTCGCTAATACAACAGCTTTTTTATTCCTTATCCTGAAATTGTTTCAACCCATGTAAATATGCACCCTATTCATTATGAAATTATTTCAAGACGCACTGGTTTCATCATGAATCCATTTCAGCATGTAATTATTTCATGACAAACCGCGTACATTATGCACCCGTTTCATTTTGCGTTTCACTTACTAAATGGATCAACTACACCATCACTGAAACGGGGTTAACCATCAAACCAGTTCACTACTCATTGTTCAATTACGCCATGAACTAGTTTCACCTTCATGAAATTTGTTTCATGTACATAGATTAGTTTATTTTGCTCCTGATTTGATGAATTCATTCTTTTAATCCTTACAATCTTAAAGATTCTGTAKCAGATTACAATCTTCAAGATTATGGAGCAGATTCATCATGCAATTATTTCATRACGAACCAAATACATTATGCACATGTTTCACTACTCTTGGTTTAATTACGTCATGAACCAATTTCACATTCATGAAAAATATTTCATGTACATTAATTTTCATATTTCACCCGTGATTTGATGAATTCATTCTTTTAAGCCTTACAATCTTCAAGATTTTGGAGCAGATTACAATCTTCAAGATTCTGTAACAGATTCATCATGTACCCGTTTCATCATGCAATTATTTCATGACGAACCAAATACATTATGCATCCGTTTTATTTTCCACTTCACCTACTAAATGGATCAATTACACCATCAATGAGACGGGTTCTCACCTACTAAATGGATCAATTACACCATCAATGAGACGAGTTTCACCATGAAAATGTTTCACTACTCATTGTTCAATTATGACATGAACTAGTTTCACTTTCATGAAACCTGTTTCATTTGTATTAATTTCTTTTTTCAATCATGATTTGATAAATTCATTACATTATGTCTTACAATCTTCAAGATTCACCAGCAGATTCAATCGTATCATAATATATTTAGTTCAAATTTTTAAAATTATAATATAATTAAATATTTAAATGTTACCATTTATAAAATTTCCTTTATTACATTTCCTTAATTAAGATTTATTAATAATTTTCATATTTAATTGAAAATATTGCAAGTGACCGAAATAACCTTATTGATTAAACTTAATTAGAAAAAAATGGAAATTTTCTATTGGTCGAAATTAGTTTACACGGTTTCTTAGAAATGCACGGTTTTCATTTGAACGTGCCCATATATATATATATATATATATAGAGAGAGAGAGAGAGAGAGAAAGAGAGAGAGAGAGAGAGAGAGAGAGAGAGATGAGCAATCAAATGAAAACCACTTTCATTTGTACAAACCATACAAACCACCTTCATACGTCGATTTCATTGTTTAATCTTATGAAAAAATTTCATGAAATTGTTTAATCTTGTGAAATTGTTTCATATATATGGTTATGAAATTGTTTTATATATATGGTTATGAAATTGTTTCATATAATATTTAATTAAATTTTAATGAATGTTTCATGTATTTCTTTAAAATAAAAATGGTTAATCAACCTCTCATAATTACAAAAAAAATGAACAAAATGAAAAATTATGATTGGTTGAATGAGGTTTTCACGGTTTGTATAAATTGAGTGGTTTTTATTTGAACGCTTATATATATATATATATATATATATATATATATATATATATATATGATCTCTAGATTGTTGTTTTTGATTGTTTAAATCAACAGATTCATCAAAAAGAAAATTTAAATGGGGAAGATGTCGAGTGTGAGTTCTTGATTCATGGTCAATCTTAGTTAACATGGAGCTTCAAATTGTCTAAAAATCTTAAACCACAGTGGCCAAGTTGAGTTTTTCTGGAAATCAAAGTTTTTGGTTCACATCTTGCTACATTACAAAATATGATAATAATTAAGTATTTTGTTTAAACTCTATGATGGTTTATAATAGAAATTCACTCACGTCTTGCTACATTACACTTGTAGACAACTAGTTGTCCTACAAATATTGATCCAAATTCTACGTACAAAGCCTATAATTCATCTTCAACCCCTTATTTTTCTCCATCTAGTGGTTCACACTTTTATATAAATTGATAGTTTGGTTCAATTCATCATCTGATATATCTCTCCTGTTGTGGTATCATGGAGTCGATCTAAATCCTTATGTCACGGCTCCTTCCAACATCTTCTTGTTACGCACTGCTATACACTGCTTTCACTCTATAAACACACACCGAGTCATCTTGTTTTTCGAGTTCCTACATAAACCCTGGATGTTAAACCTCTGTTGTGGTTTTGATATATGTTTACTTTACTTATCAACTCCAGACTAGAAAACGCAGGGACGTACCATTTCCTAGTCTTCTTCATTGCGTTCTTGATTGTTTTGATTGTTAACTCCTGTTTTAGGTTCAAGGATAACCCTTTAAGGTAATTTTTGGAACATGAGTGGTGTTGCTGGAGGGGAATGAATTGATGGCTATGGATAGATGGAAGTCAGTGGTGGTGGTGTCGTAGAAGACGTGTAGATGGTGGACAAGGGGAAGGGGGGCGGTAGGCTTGGATGGAAGAGGGGCGGTGGCGGGAGTTGATTATTGTTTTTTTTAATATGCATTAAAATACTTATATCCATCAATGACATGAAGAGAACGGCTTTCCTCTTCCATCCCATTCTACAAGGCCTGTGACCTCATGAGTCATCAGTGATGGTCCACTCGAAGGACTCAAACTTGAAGTTAATGCTACTTTATGTTAATACGAAAGAAGTGGATGGCTTTTTCATTACACATGCAACCAAAATTAAACTTGTACAATTCAAAACTTAATAAAGAAAAGGGTAAAGCGGTCAAATCACCCTCACGTGAATAGCATGTGAAGCCACTTAACGTACTTAGTTAAAGAAATTTAGGGCTGAGAACTAAATTCAAAATAAAACCGAAATCACTTAAATGAATTTGTAATTCTTAAATTGTATGAAAGAAATTTAAAGTTTTCCAAAACTAACCTTTTAATTTTAGTTACATAATTAAATAAAAACATTTATTAAACATGTGTTTATATCTTGCATTTGCTATGAAGGCTATTTTTATATAATTATAAAATATAGATTTATATTTTAATAATTATATTATTTATATACTTTTTTTTATTAGATAGTGTTCGTTTTCCTCATCGTCTTTGTCTGCATTTGACTGTTTGTGTTAGTTTATTTGATTTAAGTTTAAGAAAACGATATGAAATCATATCATTATAAAATATAATTAATATGTTTTATGTTAAAATATATAATCTATATCTATACTATATTATATTATAATGCATTTGACACAATCTCTTTAAAACAACTTTTTAAGCATTATGTACTCCTATATAATGTTAATTTACTTAATTTTCAAGATTACAAATAAGTTGTGCTAAGTACAACTTATTAAAACTTCATGTTTGAATTCGTGTAACTAACTGTAAATAAACATAATAAAATAAAGGCTAAACATCTCATTTTAAATATAAAAAAATCTAAAATGTAAGTAGGATAATAATTGAGTTCTAACAAAATACTTAATAATTATTTTTATAAAAAGTTATATTATTAAACCTAAAATAAAAAATTGAATTAAAGAAATACACAAAAAAAAAGAATTTTTTAATAGTTAGTTTGGTATTAATATCAATATCTTTTTTCAATTTTTTATGATATATCTTAATATTTATATTTTATTCAAAAATAAAAACATTATCGTTTTCTCAAAACCACATCAAACCTTATTATAACATCGACTAAGACAGAAAATAAAATATTAAAATTAAAATATATCTCGTTGCATTGTACGAATATCCTTCTAATAATAATAAAAATTAAATAACTGATCCTACTCGATTTGAACACGGGTGTGTTTGAATATGTAGTCAATGTTTAAATGAAATTTTAATATTCATGTTCACACTAAAAAAAACATATTTAAATGTCGGATAACGGTGTCATTGTTAAAAAAAATATGACGATATATAGATAGATATAAACATTCAGAATTATTTATAAAATAAATCTTCTTCCATGTTTATCATTATCTTTATGTATTTATCGTCTTTATTTAAGGGTTTATAATTAAGGGAAATTTACCCAAATAGTTATTTTGCAAAATTGATTTCACTTTTTAGCCATTTTAGGAACCTTTTTTCTTAAATAGCCGAATTTTACAATAAAACTTTACACAGAAGGGTAGTTTCTGCATAAAGTTTGTTTTCAGGCAAAAAAAAGAACATAATTTAAAAAGGTAATTTTAGGGGGGAAAAAACTTTGCGCAAAAAAAAAAAAATGAGACTTTGGGCAGAAAATCCCTTGAGCATTTTAGGGATTTGGAGCTAAAGATTCAAGTTTTGTGGATGGAGTTCAAGATCTTCATCTTCTCCATATCTTTTCCACCATTATTGACCTTGGTTTTA